TGCCTGGAAATATAATGAATGACACCAGCAAGTCTGAAAGCAAAAATTGAGCTAATGAGTATTTAAGCAATGAATGAAATTCGGGTATTTACGTTCGTGAAAAGAATTCACTACTTACCGATATTTTCGTTCTAAATTGAGAGAAATGGGAAAGTCATGCAGAGAACATGCGATGCTTCTCTCTCTCGCAGCGCAGTCTCTCACATCCAATTCGATGCAGATGTGAATGTTCAAATCAGTTTTCTTTGTAAGAGTTCCCGTGCATCCTGGCTGCAGACACTTTATATTAAAAATTTGAAGATGATACAGCAATGCATCTTGCAAAGCTTGATATCCATTTTGTCTTATTACATTCTCATTGATAGAGAGAAATGGTATTTTTTTAAATTTTTTTTCCGATGCAATCTTTATTGGTGCACTGATAGGTTTCATATCCACTGGGCTCACTGTCAAGAAAATTGCTCCATGAACGTGTTATAAAAGTCTCTGCGTCAAGAAAATACGGAGAAAGATTTGTGGAGTCCGGATCTTTTTCAATGGTATAAAATTGATTTAAAATTTTCAAGCGATCTAATAAAATTTGACGAGTGAGTCCTGTTTTCATGAAATTGAAGATTAATTGCAATGTAGCGTTGGCTGAATTTTCTATGTATGAATGATACGTTGGGTTATCCAGGGCAGAAAACTGTACGATGTGAACAATTGTATCTAACCCACAGGTGTTTTTTACGTAAACTTTAATTCCATTGCGTTGGATTGGCATATTTTTAAATTTTTCATTATTAAAATTCCATGGATATTGGGCATTCTTAATTTGTATTAAACTGCAGAGATTGCCATTAAGTAACAAAAATCCTTTTTTCCGTGACGTTTTCCTCTCATTCAGTAATTTGATTTCAGGGTAGGGTCGAAAATAAAAACCCTTTGAAATCATTTTGCCTTCTATTTCATGTTTTCCGCTATTCTTGACTTTTCCCACGTTCTTCTCCACAATTTCCTCATTACACAAAATATCATTTTTGGGATGCGGGGCGATTAAATTCTGGTCATTGTTCCTTTTTTCCTGATTCTCGGGCTTCAGTCTTCTTTTTTCTGCAATGAACGTATTAGTAATTGCTTCTGCATTCAATGTGGGATTTTTTGATTGTATATCGAAATTTTCTTCAGTCTTCGGATTTCTCTGACCTTCTCCATTGGTTGGTGAATCACGTTCTTCGTCTAAACTTCCAATATCTTCCAATAATATAGCCGCAGAACTTGATATTAGTTTAGCATATGAATGATCTAAAAGTGGTGTGCTTGTGTATACTTGAGAGGTGCAAAAAAAATTAGATGAGTCTCTCTTTGGGGTGTATGGTATATGTGAGTTGATTTTTGGGTTCTTCTCTAGATAATTGAGAGGAATGTCAAAATCATTTCCTTCATTATTCAACACTTCATCTCCCACCACTTCATAGTCAGCTTTTTCACTTACCATTAAGTTGTCATTTATAAATTTCAAATTTTGATCTTCATTATTTTTAGTAGAATCATCAGCGAGATTGTTGATCTGTGTTTCATAATTCAGAATTTCAGAAAGAATTGTTGCAGTGTTATGAATCGAAGATTCGTCTTTCTTAGCGTCAAGATTATCTTTCATTATTGATTCAGAACTTTCACTCTTGACAATAAAAAGTTGTTTGTTCTTAAGTCCTCTCCATTTTTCGTAAGAGAATAAATCAGTATCATCAATCAAGTGATTTCTTTTTGGTGGAGATTTTGGATGATTATTTTCATTTTCTTCAACAGTTTCATCCTTCAGAGTGGGAGTGGACAAGACCTCTCGCTGATGGTTGAAATGTTTCAACTTGGCAGCAAGCAAATTGCTGCCACTTTTCAGACTGTGGAGGTGTTCGAGCACAAATCGATTCCCTAGACATGGTAAACGAATGTGTTCAAAAACTCTTTCCCGCAAGATAGCGAAATACCCTTCTTGATGAGCTGTTGAAGCATGTTTTCCAGCAACTGGAATTGCTGCAGCAGTCCACAGTGGAAACTCCTTCGCGATACGTGTTAACTCCTTGACAAAGTCTGGTAAGTAAAAAGCATTTACAGAATTTCCTGACATGTCAGAAGGTGTAACCGACGCTATTAATTTTTTGATTCATTGATGGGTGCGTGTACCATTTTCGCCTTCTTCAAACTGTTTGGACGTATTACCTTTCTCTTCTAGATACGATGTCATTGAAGCCTCAATATCACAGATGACGCTTTTCCTAACACTCATATGACCCTCCAGCTCTTTTCTGGCATCTGAAACCGTCATATTAATAGTTGACGTTGAAACAAAATTGTCTTCATACGGCTGTAATGCGACGATACAAGTGAGAAGAAAAATTTGTTGGAATTCTTCTATGCTCTGAGTATCCACCATTAAAGCAACACAACGAACAAAAAAGTTCTTAATATATGGGTGATCTTTGTGTTTCAAGCATTTCCACCTTGCCACCAGAGCCATGAGATGAGCCACATCTATTCGGATGAGAGTATTGTCTGGTCGAGATTTTTTCTTGCCTGTCGTCCTTGCCCACTCGAAAACGTCATCTATATAATCTTTTAAACTCTTTTCATTAAATGTCAAACAGGAAGACATTGGTATTTCACGTTCATAATCAGACCATGATTCACCTGGAGTTTTAGCTCCGAGCCGGACCCAGTATTTAAGCCATAATTCGATAAATTCTTGGGTATGGATTTCTGTCAGCATTTGATGTACGCAGATAGTTTTCCCTCAAATCTGATTGTGACCGTGTATAGAAAGATATGACCAGTCATTCTTCCTGGACAATTTCAAATGCTTGTGCAAACCGGCCTGAAGCATCAATCGAGATTGCTGATGATGTTCCTAATACTCGACAGTATTCGTTGAAAACGTGTAACTGTTCCTGGGTGCAATATAGAACGTGGAATTTCATACAACCAATCTCGTGTATGGTATTTATATAACGAGGATCTGTTGACATTTTTTGGAGTGATTTAATCACATCATTTTTCTCATTGGGTTTCATGCCAGCGTTTTTTTTGTGCTTCTCCATCTTCGCTTGTCTGTAGATATAATTTTCCTGGACAAAATGTGGAACATCGTCTCCAAATTGCATATTATCCCTTAATAATTCATTTTGATAATTGGCAGCACTCTGCTTTTGCAATTTTTCTCCCACTTGCTTCCGTTCAGCTCCCTTGAGTGGTCTCTTCACATCTACATGGTAGTCTCCACGAGTGTCACGCGTTTTAATTGTCAATCTCAATCCGTTGCTGGTAGGTTCACTATTTGCTGTACCAATCATTATATTTTTGCACTTTATTCTATCCTTGCAATAGGCAAAAAACTTCAAATAATATTCATCATCTTGA